CGCGAAATTGTCGAGCAGGACGTATGTTTTTTTGTTTTTAATTTTAAAGTCCTAAGCTAAAGCTCTAGGTACACTATCGGTACAAGACTGGTGGAGCCGGTGGGGTTCTCTGCGTACAGGCCCAACTCATTCCAACCGCGGGAACCTCAACAAAAGTAGATGAAGTTAACAACATAACTTAAATCAAAACTAAAATCAAAGCGTAAATCAAACAAAAAACTGAAATAAACTGAAAAAAATAAATAACAATTTAGAAGAATTTCATATGTGGTCCAGATCCCGCGCTTCTCACCCGTTTCCTTCCCTGTCACATCTTCCAAGTGACTTTTCCTAATCTCCGCTGAGAGCGAAAGATGAGCTCTCAGGTAACCTTTGCTGTCGGCTGGTTTCCTGCTTTTTGTTGTGAAAGTTGTTGTAGACTTCACCAAGGACTGCCGAGTCCTCAAACTTCTTCTTCGGTTTCTAGAATTCCGAAACCCGATCCCTCCGCCATGGAGACGTCCTTCGCAGAGGCGTTCCTCGCTTCTTCGTCCTTTTTGTATGCAGCTTTGACACGGGCAAAGTCTGCATATCTTTCTTGCTCGACTCTGCGAATTGCTGCGAGCTGTTCCTTTGTCACCGGTCCATCTTTTCTGGGTCTGGCTTGGCAGTGCCGAGAGTCCGATCGGTGAGGTCCCCCACAATTGCGACATCGTGTGAGGGCCTTGCACTCCACTTCCGAGTGCATCTTTGAGCCGCAGTTCCAGCAAGCTGGAGCTCGGGAGCATCCGCGGCTGGCGTGATAGCCAAGACAACGTTTGCACTGTTCGAGTTGTTGACGAGGTCGGAAGAGCTTCGCAGCTCCAGAATCGTCGAAGAGGCGGAGTCCAGGTCTGGGCGCGGACTCGCGAGGAAAGAGGGCTTGCCAGTTCTCGTATGGCGCCCCAGGCTTGCAGTACCCGTGCGGACGGACAAGAAACGGAACCGATTTCGTCACTCGCGTGACTTCGTCAGCAACCATCTTTGCCGTGATCTCGATGGGACCTGCAAGTGTGTTTATTGTCACCGGTACGGTGGCAATTTGCAAGGCAACCAGATTTGACGCTGGTTCCAGTTTGATTCCAGATTCGCTCCGTGACATGGAGGAATCTAGCAGCTCTTTCCGAGCGAGTTCGTTCTTTGCTGTCAGTGCAAAGCCTGTTTTGACCCGCTGAACCAACGTGATGTTGTCGGCAGCGGTACCAAGCACCTGTGATACAGCTAATCTTACGCCAGCTGGTGACAGGAGTCGGTGGGGGTGGTTAGCTTTGAGGCGTAGAAAAAGTCTCGTGTCGACTTTTGTCCTCAGATTGGCACTTTTTGCTTTTGGGGCGGGCGGTGCTGCCTTTGTAGTCAACGGCCCGGCGCTGCGGCCTAGACCTGCACGGGCTACTGTGGCCCAAGTCGTCTTTGGTGCCGGAGCCTGGGTTTTCGAAGGGTTAGGTACCCTAATTTCATGAGCCCTCGGCGGAGGAGGGTTGCTGGGGCGCGCAGGGAGAGCTGGTGGAGTGCTCCCTGGGCCTGATTGTATGAACTGGCCAATGGCCGCTCGAAGGTAGACTTTGATGCCGTCTACAAACTCTTTTTCGTCGCCAATCGAGAGAGGCGAAAGTGCTGCTTCAACACTGCTTATTGCAGTGGAACAGATTGATAAACGGGCCTTGATTTGCGTCGTGCGACGCTTCTCGGCCTCCATCACTGATTGCAGCTCCGGTGGATATTCCGGTGCTGATGTCGAAGCTGCGCCTTTTGAGGCTGGCACAGCATTTCTTCCGGCAGGCAATTCTGCACGTTCGGTGGTCTTTTCTCTGACGACCTCCTTTCCTTTCCTGGGACTGCTTGCCTCGGGGGCCAGCTCGGCGGGTTTCGTGGTCTGTTGACCATTTATTTCTGTTCTGATCGGGTCAGAATCAGTCATCTCTTGATCGGGAAGGTTTGGAGACTTCCCAGGGATAAAGGCCTCACTCGCAAATAGGCTTGATAATTTTTGCGCGAGGCCAGGTGTTTTTGCAGGAGCCCTCGGGCGGACTCTCGCGTTGTCCAACATTGAGTTGGGGAGCTTTTTTCGAACAGGTGGCATGACGAAAATGCCAGTGACTCGATTACAATTTATTGAAGGGATGCGACGAGCGCGAGAGGGAGGGAGAGGGGGAGAAGGGGAATATTCGAAAATTCGAATTTCAAAAAATTGTGTGTGTGTGTGTTTGTGTTTATTGTGCTACTTGAGTCTATGACTATCTAGCACATTGGGCTCCTCTCTGACCCAGGCCACACCTTGTACAGTGCTCCTATCCTCTTTTTTTACTTGAAAGATCATTGATATATTCCCCTTGATGAATAGCCACTCAGCTCAGTATTTACCCGTGGAATTTAGCCACCTTTTCCACAGAACCTTCTACCCAAAAAAATAGAAATGGTAGCAATGGAAACTGTGTGCGCCGGAAAGTCTCAAAAAATCTGCAGCCCCAGCCAGGCGAGGCCTAGACACCGGGACCACATGAGGTGCGCATATTCATCTATATCTCCCTTCTTTGTAACAGTCGAGGCCGACTTGATCCAATCCACCATCTCCGTATCGGGTGCTGGGTACGCTCCGGAAACTCATCGGATGGCTTTTCCTCCGTGATCAAGGTTTGGTGATGAGTAGAGCTCCGACCCTACCATCTGATCTGATCGTGGTTAGCTTCATGATAATGGTGATAGGGGAATGTGTTGAGAGATGAAGACGATACAGACCGCGAAAGCGATTGGGAATCCTCTTCGAAGTGAGGACTTTGTTACTCAATCTCGGCTCTGCAGACTCTACAGTGAGAGCTGGAGGTTCGTAGGGGACACCGCTGACAGGTGTTGAGAATAGTCCCCCAATCGAGCAGGACGTAGATGGCGCTGCGTCCCAGGTCTCTTAACCTGGTGATGATTTCCTCAAGAGCAGCCATAGCCCCATAAATCTCTGCGTCGTAAACTTCCGCTTTGTTCAATGACCGCTATAGTTCTACTCACAAATGTCACAAATGTCCATAAGACCCAGTCGGTAGACGCTCCGTAATCATCGCTGTAAGCGCAAAGACAGTAATATGACAGGGTTACAAGTCACTGTGATATGAAATTTGCTGCCTCTTCCCTGCTTGTCCAACAAGGATTTCCTTTTTGGCCGGTACTGTTGGTCGAAGGGATGGTTTCGCATTTGGTAAGAGTTGGAACACTAGGTTTAGTTATTTTCTCCAGTATGTAAAATATAGTCTTTATTCGGCCTTCTTGTTCCCGGAGGAATCGGGAAGGCTTAAGGCTACGACGCTTGTATTCTCAGCTGGGCCGAAAAGGTTGCAGATAGATTCGAACCCTACGGAGAATGGTGCGGATGCAAGGGGACGGAGGAAAGAGAGGCCGCGTACAATTACTCTCCGGGTTAGCTCCACACCTCTTTCGCGACAGCTAGATTTTGGCTGACTAAGAGCCGTTGTGAATTTTAATCCGAGTTTTACATCGAACGACTAATGAAAGGACACCAGCTTGTAAGAGGTGGAGACAACCAGGATTCTCTACTCGGGTGGCCTGAGGGTTCAGCCTCCCGAAACCATTAGAGACTTGAAATATAGTAGAGTTTCTACTGACACTTGATCCGCCTACCTTACCTCCTATCGGCCTTGACCTAGACAGACGTGATTTTCAGGTGGAAGAGCTGACGCATGTCCTCAGAAACGATTGGGAATTAGCAGGTCGCACTGCTCCCTTAACGGCATTTGGGCTGGAGTCCAGGTCTTGAGTTAAGTGAGTGCCGATATGTCCTGAGGCTATTTGCACACTGGTGCCGCCTGCCGCCCACAATACGCGAAGAAGGTGCAAAGTAATAATCCTACGATCCTCATCGATGGACCACATTGTCGGCTTTTCAACTCGTGGCTCCATATTTGCCTGACTCGAAATTCATCATGGGATGTGTCTCCCTCATCCTGTGATTCTACCCCTTCAGGACTCAAGCCTGACACGCATATAAAACCCCGGCCATGCGTCGTAGCTCGATAGCTGCATATACAATCAATATTTACTTGCTAAAAAACGGAGAAAACCCCGGTGAATGCAGGCGTAATCTTGTGGTGGCTATGTTTCCTTAGTATCTGTTTTCGCGATTGGATGAAGGAAGTCACTGTTAATTCTAGCAAAACTGACATACAAATGCTCGTAGAACGTACTCTCGGTCCAGACGAAAAGACTGTAAACGCGACATGTTGATGATAACGAGCCATCTCCTCAAGATGCACATTTGATTGACAGAGTCAAGCTCCTTCGCTTGCCGACGAGTCATACCGGACAAATGTGTTTGAAACATAAAATGCCACGCAACTCTGCATATGGGCTATCCTTGTTTGGAGCAAACTGCCCGTAGACACTGATCTACAACCTATTATCCCACTGTTGCGGGAGATTCCGGGGATATGAAGCCTTCCAGTCCTAATCATGCGGCACTGTCACGCGATACGTCTGTCATGGCGGATGTGGGCATTGTACAAGAATAACTATTAGCGCGGTAGGCGACTAAAAAACCCCTGACATCCCACTTGTTCGCGCACTTTGAGGTAAGAAGCGTGTCGGCGCAATAACTGCGATCATGTTAACATCAACAGGCGTCTGCCATCAACCCAAGACTCAGACTGTAATCCTATCTCAGCCCGCTTAGTTGCCCTTCAGAGTGCAGCGGGGTCATTACTCTATGTCATGCAGTGCAGTGCAAAAAGGAACCTGCCTCTTCCCCCCTAACAGGTCTGGAAAGCACCTCACCTACAGCTCCGTCAATCACTTATAGTTTCGTGTATTACAAGGACTGTCAAGGAACCAGTATGCATCACTATTTACAACCTCGTGCGTCCAGCACTAACTTGGTTTAGATCTGTGCTTAAAGCTGCCAAACTTCTCCAGATGCAATCTGACTTCGCGTCTACGAGCAGCATCCCTTACTCTACCGGAAAAAAGAAGTCGGAAGAATAATGATCCCTCTCACCAAGCCCCAGCGCAATCCCAAAGATGGTGCTGAGATGATGCAAAGTGATCCTATCCATGAATTGTCGTTGACGCCTCTCCTTCTCGAGCATTTTCGCAGTATATTTAACACGCTACGAAAGAAAGATTTCTATCTTTCAAAGTCCCGCTTTCAAGCTTGGCTATCTACGGTGCAGGAGACACCGAGTATTATCCTAGATCAAGAGGAATATAGTTTTGACGACTGGTTACAAACTACATACCAAACTGGCGCTCTTGAGGCCCTTGAGAACCCAAAACCTAAAGATCTCTCGAGACCGCTCAGCAATTATTATATCAGCAGTAGTCACAATACTTACTTGAGTGGGAATCAGTTGTTGTCGAAGAGCCAAACATCGGCATACAAAAAAGTACATGTCTTCCGTTTAATCCAAGTGAAATTACTGACTATCAAAGGTCCTACGACGGGGCTGTCGGTGCATTGAAATTGATGTTCACAATGGAGAGTCTAGTAATAGATCTTCTCGAACTTACTCTCAAAATTCATCTTTTTCGCCGGATATCATACAGAGCAGTGATACCGGCTCCATCACCTCCACCAAGGCTTCATCAATAACTGAAGACTGGCATTCTAATTCTGAAAGAAGAAAATATAGGCTAGGCCTAGGAAGACTCTTCCACCCCAGTGATATACAGTCAAGAAATGATGTATCAAGCTCCGCTGAATCTTCGCCCAGTCATTCTCGATCCTCCTCCCTTCGAAATAAAATAATTCCTGGAGAGCCCATTGTCAAGCATGGCTGGACCCTCACGGCGCCGGTTGGGTTTAGAGCTGTCTGCGAAACGATTGGCCATGAGGCCTTCAAAACAAGTGAATTGCCAGTTATTGTAAGCCTAGAAGTGCATGCCGACCATGAGCAACAAGAAATTATGGTGGACATAATGAGAGAGGTATGGGGTACTATGCTAGTTGAGGCGCCGAGTGGTGACAACAATCCTCATGAAAGAATTCCAAGGCTTGAAGAGTTCAAGAAAAGGATATTAGTCAAGGTCAAAAGAGGTCGTCCGGACAAGCAGGAATTATTGGTTGTATCTAGAGATGGTAGTAGTCCCCCAGCTTACGCCTCGACAAAAAACCTGACCGACGGAGTTTCGACTCCAGAAACCGAAAATCTCACATCAAGCAGCAAAAAAAAACCCAAGGTCTGTGAGAATCTTGGCAAATTGGGAATCTACACCCAAAGCGAACACTTCACGAGCTTCAAAGATCCATCGGCTACGACACCATCGCATATTTTTTCCATCAGCGAGTCGGATATCCTCAATTTGTCCAAGAGTCAAAGACTAGAAATGTTCACCCACAATCGCAATTACATAATACGCACTTACCCGAGTCCCAAAAGAATTGACTCTTCTAATCCTAATCCCACTACTTTTTGGCGTCAAGGTATTCAGATCGTAGCGATGAACTGGCAAAAGCTTGACGAAAGCATAATGCTAAATGAGGGTATGTTTTCTGGTGAGCAGGGCTGGGTGCTGAAGCCACCGGGATTTCGCAGTGAAAGCAAGGGAATTATTCCTTACAAAAGTATCGAGCTGAATATTACCTTGCTGGCAGGCCAGAACATCCCCGTACCCCCTGATACGACTGTGGAAGAATTCCATCCTTACATTCATTGCGAATTGCATGCGGAAAAGGAAGTCTCAACTACCAGCGACGGGCATACTAGCTCCACTTTTAAACTAAAATCATCATATCAGCAAGGAGACCTTTTAAATTTTGGTAAAGGGTATTCGATGAAATTTAATAGTGGCGGGAGACTAATTGAAGAGATCAGCTTTCTAAGGTTAGTTTTGTCTTTAATTTTACCGCGCTTCTAGCGGTCAGTCACTATTCATAGCCATCTCTTGCTCTGCTCATATGAGCTAGTACGTGAGAATATTCTGGTTCAACCGCACATTCTAGGTAATGTATCATGAGTAATCATCATTTTCTTCATTCAGTGCAAGAACTTCCTAAAGTTTTTTCTTTTAATCGATAGGAATGTACGATTCATCAATGGCTCAACTTTGGAATAAAGGAGACTTTCTTGATAAAAAATTAACTCAATACCCAAGATGATACTTCCTAGATTATTATTGAACGTATACAAACTGACCATTCTTAATCCTTAGGTTCAAGGTGGAAGATTCACGCTATATGCAAGATAATCTGGCAGGCTGGGCGTGTATTCGTTTAGACCGCTTGCAGTCAGGATACCGCTTTGTACGTCTACTTGACGCCAAAGCACGTTCCACGAGGGGTTTGCTATTTGTCAAGATTGAAAAATGGTACAGCAAATAGTAGAGCAGATAAGGGTAGGGCGCATGAAAATTAATCGAAATGGGCCTGGTAACCGATTAGTTGGACCGAATTTTTTAGTTTTTACAAACCACACGAAGAAAAACTACTTCCATGCCGCTGCAAACATGATATTGCGTATTGGAGTCGTTGAGGCTAACTCATAGTTTCATTTTCTGTGCGCACGATTCAAAGAGGAATCATGTTTTCCTATCCTGCCTAAAAGTCATAACAGGTAGCATTATCATCAACACAAAGGCCATCCATTTTCTAGGGAAGATCATGAGTTTGGTAATTGTTTTTTCAAGTCTGGTCATCTAGGTACAGAAGCGACGGGGTCTGTGAGTACAAGTCACAAAAGTTTCCTTTGTTTTTGTCTCTATTAACATCTATGAGGCTATTGTGTCCTGCAACTATTCGCATTTGAGACGAAAGACGCCGGGATTCGAATACTGAGTCTCGGAGAATTTATGCTTAAATTGCATAGTATGACCCCTTCACCGTGTCTAGATTTCAGATTCAGCAAAACATGGCCAAATTATGTACACTGCTAGTATACTGTATAGGCTTTGTCGCTCTGACCTATAATCATGATCTCAGCTGGCGCTATTGAGCAGAACATGGATTAAAGCCACTCATCCACTGTTATGGAACTAGCCTAGTACCTCACATGATCCCAAAAACGCACACGGTATTGTGTGGATACACACATTAGATCCCTCACAAAACAACCAAATAACAACCAGGTATCTAGCTCCACCCCGTTGCACCGTCAGATTTCCCAGTACAGGGTTTGTATTGACTCAGGGTGGGGAATTCTCGCTATCTGCATGCTAGCTGGCCGAGCCAAAGAGGAATCCCCTGGCGGATCGACTTCCGTGGGAACCCGGAATTTACCAATGACTTAGGCCTTCCTATTGAGGTCTAGACATACCAGACCGAATTTCACCAAATACTGAGTAGACGAAGACTGCTCACGTTTGATTGCTACCAGCTTTGGTAATGATCTCGGTAGTTAGTGTTGGTACAACTGGGTTCACTTAGTTCAATACCTCAAAAGTGCTATAAACAAGTGGTATCATTCTATCTATACTCCCCTCTTCTCTTTCCTCAAGCACTAATATCTAAATTACAAATTGGACCTTGGTGCCCGAGCCAAGTCACGTGATATATTGACTAATCCTTACAGAAGTACATCTCTAAGTCAAGCCATTTATCCGAACGCCATTCACTCATGAACCGACAGTTAGAATATTGTCCTTTCACACAATCAAAACAGAATGTATTTACCTGAGCGAGGTAGAATATAGATAATTAGTAATATATGAAGACCATATAATTTAATCAAATAAGCACAACAAGTTAGAACCTCTCTAGTCCTAATATTTTTTCTCTGATTCTGAAATCTTCAATATCTTTCAATTCCTACAGTGTTGACTTGACGGTCAACGTTCACTCCTATCATTCCAAATACTTCCAGTACTTTAATACTTCCAATCTAGCGCTGCACGGCTCATAAATATTTATGTCAAGTTTAGATTTGTACTTACGAGTCATCATTTTTAATCTGTCCTGTACAAGATCCAAGGTCTACATCATTCTGTGGAAAAGTAAATGTTGTTACGGTTTGTCTGATGCTTGCGCCTCCCGAGCTCCAACTTTTATTGATGGCAGTTCATATCTTCTGGCTCTTGGACCGAGGAAGTAGACTACTTCGGCTTTGTCAGGGTCGAACGACACGGTATTTTCAGAAGCGCATGCTAGCACTGCGCCGACCTCACGCTAGACCGCTGTTGCAGCTTTGCGGGGTTTTAGCCAATCTCAAGTAATGCAATGTCGTCCGCGTAGCTAAATCTCCGTTGATTCCCGGCCACAGCTTCAGCCATGTAGATGAGGAAAAGGATTAGGGACAGCGACGACCTTTGTGGGAGCCCACACTCTAGGAAGATAGGCTTTGTAACCCCGACTTCATATCGCACGCAGGCAGATCGTGTGTGGGGAAAGGAATTTACCCAATCGACGGCTGATTCTGGCCGCCCCATTTTTCTCTATATTAGCAGCAACCTTCCGTGGAGGACGGCAATGAAGGCCCCTTGAACGTCTAGAGTTACAAGGGATGCTATTTGTCTCCTGTGCACTGCATGTGAAAGTTCGTAAATGACGCATGCGACAACGTCGTAAGAGGTTTTTCCGGGGAGCGCCTTTAAGAGCTGCCATGGTGAGGTTATTAGCTAGCAAAAATGTCGTAGGGGTCAAGAATGATAGGTTATATCATTGAAAATAGCAAACAGTTACGATTGATGATTTACGACCGTCCTATACTTCACTGTCGCCGATACTAGATGCACAATAGAAAGCTCTATAGACTGGTCATGTTTTCTCCTCCTAAACCACAGACTAGTGCTCTATTTGTACAAACTGCTCATTCCTGTTCGGTCCCCTCTATATGAATAGCGCTCGATCCTCGGTTTATGTTCGCGCCACCTTTGCTATTGGCTACCTTTACATTCGTTCACATGTGCTTCTCTCTACCGTATCACGCTCATACTTACTACCGGGGTCATTGATTAATGCTCGGAATTTATCAATCGGCGTGGCGCGAGACCCGTAGACGTTCCATTATTTCGGGGCCTGGAACCTCAGTGGCATCGTCTTGCGATAGAGCGGTATGTGTCATGCGTTTTGGCACTAGCATCCCGAGGCCTTTGCCGAGAGAAGAAAGTAGCGATATGGGTCACTACCCGTAGCCGTGCTAGAATTACGACCGGTCCTTGGGTGCAAGATAAGTTCCGCTAACTTGAACGCTTTGGGAAGTGCTTCAATTGTAGTGAGCATCGTAGAGTATCCTCATTTCGTGACTGGTTAAAGGTCATACTACCCTGAGCAACCGCAAAGTAATTGCGCCTGCTCTGGAGATTTATTCTGGCATGTTGTAGTAACCCACTTGGCGTCCTCATATGAAACGCTGGAATTTTACGGTGGGTTGCCCTCTGTTGGCGCGTTCTGGTCAAAATTGACGTCATTTTCGCTGCTGGATTATCTGAGAGAGTCGCGCAACAGACACACTCGATTACTGGTATCTGACGCAAGACCGTCGATAGTCTTAAGTGGCGGTGCTGCATTTTGAGGTCGGTGCTTCGCCCAGCGTGCCATGCGATATATGTCGGTGTATGTTGTGGTATCGGAAAACTTACGGCGCTAGTACAAGCGCTTCGCTCTTTTTCTTGTTCGACGGAATGCCTTCCTACCCTCTTCGTCCTAAAAGATCTTGTACTGAAGTTTTACCTCGTGGCACTCTTCTAGCAACTAGAGGGCTGTCCTACCCTTCTTCGGGCTCCCACGTCTTCTGACAGCCCTGATTGCGTCACCTATTTCCTAAACTAGGGCGTCGGCGTGGATATCAACATCAAATGTAGATATCATTGGCCGTCTCTAGAATCTATTGCCCCACATTTCCAAGAGCCTGGTAAAGTCTTTGAGCGCGTTATTATCGACCCAGAATGATTGTCAAATCTTAGTGATGATTCGGCTCTTGGAATTTGTGTAAGGGACGTCCCTAGCTAGAGTCCTGAGATCTGATGTTGAGTCAAGGTCTATCGATTTATTGGAAAGAGCTCCGACTTTGGGCCAGACTAGGTCGAGTGTGTTCCCTCGGTCGTGGGTTGGCACACCAGGTCGTGAAGACAGGTCCATTCCGTTTTCAAGCATCCAATCTGCAAGGTACTTGCAGTCATCGTGATGTCGGGTGGCCGTGGGCTACTATTAAGGACACACAGAGTTCAATTATCCACCGAATACGGCAGGCCCGCTCGGTTTCCATACTAGCAGTGGTAGAAGATCTGCTCCAGGAGCGCAGTAAATCTAGATAGATGTCACCCCCTCCACCGAATGAGAGTGTGCATCGGGTGATGCGTCGCAAATTGGCTGCGCCTGGCTCTTCTTTTCTATCCAAGTATTTATTGTAAAGCGTGGCTTGGCTGAGTTAGGACCACGGCTGAGTGGTAGGTGATTATCGAAGCCAGGATTCGACTTGGTGAGCCAATTGCCGTCTTTATTCTCGGCCCAGGGTTCCTGGAACCCAAGCAGATTGCAGGTTGATTTCTGTTGCGGGTTCCCCTTTGCCCAGATTCGCGGATAGGAACGAGATCGTTGGTGCCGTTTTTAAGCTCTGTAGGGCTATGGTTCCTTACGGGCATGGGGGATTGGTAGCTTTCTGCTTGGCTTCTAGTTCACGTATCGAAGTATTTTTTCCTTTTGACCCTGTTCCCAGATCATCAAAAGCTAGTCTTTTGTGCGTTACACATTCTTAGCGCCAACCTGCGCCGACCTTCCCATGCCGTTGGGCTCAACAGTAGAATATGATCCGTGGCAGTTAATGCATCTCAGGATAACCAGCTTGCAATCGAGAGTCTTTTGCTAGACGGACCCGCACCGTCGGCAGCGCTCATCTCGCGAGCATATCTCTGTCGAGTAGTTTCCCCAGTATCAGTTGCATTGCGCAATCTGTGGCTCACACTGGAGCTCGTGGAGACGAGTTTGGTCCAACCCTGTCTTGAGGGTCACTTCTTCGATCACCATTTCTGGTGTGACTGGCATTGGTCCTTCGAGGGTGTCTGGCCTGTCAGAGATGTTGGGAAAGCACCGAGATCCAATTGGAGGCGGCTTCCAACTCCATTTCAGAGCTATCTGAAATGGCAGCTCCTTCTCCATCAGCTTGTATAGTGAGCCCTGAATTTATGACGGTGGCTTGCCTAATGGAGGAATTAGCCAGGCGTAGCGTGCAGGCCATGCTTATTTTACGAAGTGCGGAGACATGCGTCCACATGGGTGATAGGGCCCGAGCTGTAAGACTACGCGCTCGTCGGATCTTTCGGGCTTCGCTGCTGATGCCTTGGGCTTTGGTGTGGCTAGTGGTTTTTTTGTGGCCCCTGAGGAAGCCGGCTAAGTCCTTTTTCAAAGAACCTCAGTCCAGGATCTCTCGGGAGTCTGGTCGGTGGTTAGGT